TGTAATTAATTTTCTATTCTGCTTAAAGAGATTGTTCCGTGTAAAGTTACATCATATCATTTTGACCGTTTTACGAATTATCGGAAAATCTATTAGAGCCGAACAAGACCAACGAAGAAATTTGAAAAACATTTAATAAACATTAATTCAATAAATAATAATGATGGTAATAAATTAATTCTTTATCGTATAAATAAATTATATTTTATTGCCTTAAACGTAAAATGTATTTAGACGACCATCTTCACGATGGCTGTCCGTGAGGTGGTCCATCCGTGATTGTGGCATAATACATAACATGCTCAATGCATAACACACAAAATTATATAGACATAAAATATTGCATTGCACATCTGCACATATATAAACGAGTTTAAAAAAATACTACGCGTATACATTTGATAATCGTCATTGATGTGAACACAGCATTCACGAGGAAAAAGATAATAATAATGACGAAGATGAAAAAACAATTACATCATATTATCAGATTACGTATACACATGTGTGTTGTTTGCAGCAAAACTCTGCTGCGTCAAATATAATTTGTGTTTGTTTAAGAAATATATCCCTTGAAAACAAAAAAAAAAAAAATAATAAAAAAAATACTTTCAAGTACTCACTGTGTAGACGTATTATTAAAAATATCAAAATTAGGATTTATATCACTATTATTGCACCGTCGTTCGTCATTATTGTCGTAACTTGTAAAATACGTCATGTTGATATACCTAGTATATAATACATCTCTGGCTGGATAGATTTTTTCACCACCAAACCCACGTGTATTATACAGGCATTATATTGTATGCTCGATGCGGGTTTATTTACCAAAAAAGGCTCTTACATACCCGTCAAAATAATGTATGATAGATACACACTTTATTATTAATCGTATTTGTTTAACACGTTGAACCGATAAAGCATCGTGTTGTATTTTAAACATTTCTAATACTCGTATCAGGCATTTTATTTTTTTATTAAATATATTTTTAGTGAGTTTGTTGTAATAATTGTAGTTACCTATTTTTGTTTAAAAAGTGTATACCAAAACTGTCAATGTGAAATACTTTAATAACCAATGAAAACAAAGAAAAATATAAATCAAAATGATTTGTTCATCAACATATATGATATTATTATGATTGGTACCTAACCCTATAAGTTATAACCACATAAAGCATAGCGTGTCACTATATTTCTTTAGGTATTTTTGTGGTTATAGCAGGAGAAATCGATAAAATACAACACAAATAACAGTAGTTATTATATAAATTTGAAACTGCGTTGCCTCCGCAAATTTAAATCTTTTATTATACACAGAACAATACATAGAAGCTTTATAATGACCCTTACATTATTATGAAATGTGGATCTATATTTTCTTAAATACCAACCACGCAAAATCCACAAGGTCTCAATAGAACTGTGCTATATTATATAATATATAAATATACCTTCTATTTATGTATTTTTGATAAATGCACTTAGTCTGTTTCACCATTCACAATCAAAATAAATAAAGACAATATTATATCTCTTATACGTGTTAGGTTAATATAATATTTGTGGTATTAAAATGTGTTTTTGTAATTTAATAATTTTTATTATAATATTTGAAAATAATTATTAATTATTTATTTATTAATGCATTTAAAATTATGAAGTTCTAAACATATCTAAATAATCTAGAAAAAGAATGATGCTAATGATTATTGTAAAATAATTACGTATGTTAAAATATAAATAACAACTAAAAATGTTTTAATATTTAGATTTATACATCGTATAATATCTTTGATTATTTATATTAAATAAATAATTGTATGATTTATATTTTTAATTTAATGAAAAAAGAATTAAAAACTAATATGGAGTAACAATTAATGTATAAGTAAAAATACAATTTTAAGCATTTTATAATACGAGTATATTAAATACATTTTGAATTTATTTATATTTGAATACTTACTAGAAAACATATTTAAATAATTAATTCAGTACTTTTTTATTTGAGTATAGTTCATATGTATGTTTTTGATAAAACTATTACAATTATTGGTAATACACGACCGTGTGATAGATATTATACTATTATTAAACTTAGAAACTGGATTTAACTGTATTACTACATAGCATAACATACTGTTATTTTTAAGTTAATAATAAAATAATATCAATTATTAAAATATAATATATGTAAATTTAAAAATTTGTAGTATACATTTTGAAAAAAATATACATAATATTTCGTTATTTTTTTATTATTCCATATGGTTTTAGAAAATCAGATAACAAATATTTAATTTTTAAAAAAATTGTTAAATTTATTTTAATTATTGACTTATGAACTTCCATGAATAGCCATTTGATAAGCAAATAACCTAATTAAAATTCAAACAGTTTAATATTGATAAAGGTTAACAAAGTAATTAATTTTATTATGGTTCGTCTTAATTATCAGAAAAATTATGAAACTAAAAACGACTTAAATTATTAAATTAATACTTAACTTTAGACAAATAGTTAAATATTTTACTTAAATACATTGATTTTGTATTATATATATTACAGTGTATTGCGAAAACAGTGATAAATCAGGAAAATATAATGAAAATAACTACACTCAAAAACAAAAATTAAAAAATTACAGTCTTTGATTTTAAAATTTTTTAAATAATTTTATTCAGGAACCAAGTTTGAAAAAAGTACTGCTACAAAATAACAGTTTTTCTAGAACACTCAGTTTAATCAGTTTAACCAAAATTGGTCAAGATCATGCTAAAAATAAATATATTGTGTATAATTTTTCGCCGTTTAAAAAATAAGTTATATTTTATCATTTTTTCTTTGTTTAATATAGTAAGTAATTTTATGACGTATATAAACATATAGGATTATTATGTAAAATTTTTAATTTTTGTAATTCGTATAAATACTGGGACATTGACATTTGGTCTTAATGCACTAAGTAATATTGATTTTAGAATTCATTAAATATGTACAAATTATGAATATATGATAAATTTTAAAAAGCCAAGTTTTAAATACCTATCAAGTTATAAAATAAATATAATTTATTAATTAATTGCATTTTATAATTCATTAAATATCTGGATCCTAACCAAAAAATGCGTTTCACCAATATAGTAATGCAATGTTATTCATTTGTTAAAAGAACTAATATTTTATAATTTTACGTATTTGATTATTCGGGGAAATTATTAATTTAACATTAATTTTAGTATTTCCAGCAATCAAAAACATAAAATAACCTAAAGGTTTTAAAATTTGGTTTTTGAATAGAACACACACATATAATATGTTAAGCAGGCGTGTATTGTACTAATATGTTCAAACAGTTAAAAACAGCAAACAGCAATAAAAATTAATTATACTTAAAGTTTTTATTTATTATTTTATATTATTAAAAATATATTCATAAATTCGATTATTAATTAATTGAAATAAACAAATAATATGATATAATACAATTTCTAAAATATAATCGTTATAAAATTCTTTGAAAACATTTTAATTGTTATCACACATTATGAAAGTACGAAGTAAAGAAATGTGAATTGTTTAATAATATTTATAGAACAAATTATTATATAAATTATAAGTACCTATTTCAATTACTTTTATTATAGAATTTGTCACAAATAACGAGTATGATGTTAAACTAATATTGCAGGTACCCATTGTTCAAATAATAAATGAGATAAATCTACTTTTTTCATATTTAAATGTCAAATCTACTTGAGTAACACTAAAAATAAGTATATCGCACGAGTTTTTTTAACCATTTGAACTGACTATTTTTATGTTTGTCTTCAAACGCTGCAGTGTATATGGTTTAGAAGTTGCCAAAGAGTTCTCATAAATTATAAATCAATAGTTTAAGTTTATACATTTATAATCATCTGTGAACATTTATTAACGATAATTTTTTTTTAAACTTGAATTCGGTGTCGAGTGATGATAAAAAAAAAAAAACACCTCTGCCATTATATTATGATATATTATGTATCCTCTCTAGCTGTTTTAATCGTGGACCTTTAACTAATTAATATTTGTTTTTGTTACACTCAATGTTAAAAATCATATTTGTTTTTCAGCGTAAACCAAATAAAATATTTTAAGCGCATTTAATATTTTTTTTTTGATTTTTCAAATTGTAGTAGGTACTTACCTATTAAGGTTATTGTGTACATTGCATATTATAATGAAATACTATACTTATCGTTATAGTACTGTATATATTATATCCGGTATTGTTAAATATTTAAAATGCTAATATTAAGTGTACCTACTTAAGTACTACTAATTATAGTCATGAACAAGTAAACCAAATACATAACTACATATGGAATAGTCAGTATTGTCTCTTTTAAAAACGGATCATTTAACGGCTAACGTCATTCTTTCACCATGTTTAAAGAAACGTCTGAATTACGAAAAGAAAACGTATATAAATATATTGAAAAAAGTTAAAGTGCAGTAGTTAAATATACCATAGGTACGAGTATAGACTTTAGGTTCATGGCTAATAAAATAAACGAGTTTCAACATTTGCAGAGATGCTAGATGCATCATTTAATGTGGTTTTTTACTGGAATTGATCCATATTATCTTTTATATTTTTAAAATATGGTCTATCGTATTTGAGAAGATCTCCAAAATTAGTTACTTGATTTACATATGGTGGTTTTTGTATAATATTGTAAATAGTTTTATGTCACAAGACATAAATTATAATATATAGGTATAACAAATTAAATTATTACTCTCGGAAAATCGTGCTGTAAAATAGAAATATACATTTAGTGTAATTTATTCGGGTTTCACCTCTACCATTAATATTTAATAATAATAATACAATAATATTATAATAATTATTAAAATAACAATAATTACAGTGTTTTATTATGATTTACCGCTAACCGAAAATAATAATTATACTAAAATTGAATATTCAATAATTATTATTGTTACAGCGGACAAGCCGTATGCGACTATCACCCAATTTTCCGGACGTCAACCGATGGATTCGAAACCATCGAATTTTGCCGCAGCAGCAAGTCGCCGAAGTCATCACGCTCAACATCAAACGTATCAACACCATCAGTTACCGAACCGAAATCATTCAACAAGCATTAATTCACAGAATCATCACGTGGAATCTTCCACCGTCACGTTTAATGAGGGTAAGTGCAATAAAAAAAATTTAAGAAGTAGATTTTAATTAACACATACCTACCCTCTTCTCTGACGGTAATACGCATAAAAAAAAACAATCATGACGTTTCAACTGAAAAATTCTATATATAATATATGTATAAATATGTAGGTTATAATATATACTATAATGTACAGCATTGACAAATAAATTGCTTTTGACGTTTTGTTTTAAAAATTCAAGTTTTGAGAACCGTCTGAATTATTTTGTTTATAAGTCTAATTTTATACTCGAAGTAATTATTACCAAATTTAAATTTAAAAAAAAATTAGATACACGAGTTATTGTATAATATAATTTATTATACTTAGACACCATTATAGGTAGGTGTAATTGTGTAAATTATCTATGACATCAAATCGTTACGTTTGATATGAACAATTTTATTTCATGTTAATCTTATAAAACGATACGTTGTTCGTGGGATCGTACAACGATGATAACAAATAATATAAAAATAATAACAGAAGAGTGATTAATAATAATGAGTTTAGCTGGTACCTGGTATTTATTATGTAAATTAACCAATAAATCTGATAGCCAATAAAAGTTGAGTAAAATAGTGGATAATAAAAGCTCTCATTGATAATATTTGAAAGTCGAAAATCATAAGTTTCGGAAGCATGTACGTACGTACAAAATGAGCGTATAATTTTATAATTGTATAGGTACATGCATATTTATATCTTATTTATAATTATAGTTTTTTTTTTTTTTTTAATAGGATACATATTTTGTTATTTCAATAACATTTTTGAAAATATTTTCTTTTGTATAATTTTAATTCATTATAAAACAATATTAAAAATGAATACTTTTTAACGTTGTTATTTTTTCAAATGTTAATCTGAGCTTGGTTAAAACTGCATTTGCTTATATTTCTTAAACGATTTTCTGTACTATTTTCCTCGCACTCGTGGAAACTGCTAAAAGTTGATAAATGGTTTCTTCAATAAAAGTATGAAGATATTAAGTAGATACAAATTAGACTCGGTCTCCAATCGATATACTTGGTCTAATTTAAAATCGTTTAGCATTTTTACTGGAAATATTTTTCACAAAAAAAAGTAAAAATATTGCTCGTTTCACTTAAAATCTAAAACAGTAAAAACATAATATTATAATATATAATATTTTATTTGTAGACTACATTTATATTAAAAAATTTACTTAATTTTTGCTATGAAAAACAAATGTGATGATACAATAACTAAAAAAATTAAGTTTTCATCGTAAATTTTATGTTTTAAAATGATAAACTATTCATTTTAATTGCCTTGTAACTACGTAAGATTTATTTATACGAAATTAATTGACACTAAAAACCAAAAACGTAAATTAGATCATTTAAAATTCTTGACAAAAACGCCTATTTTAATAAGATACTCAAGCCAATTTTTCGCATATGAAATATGAATGATCATTATTGAGTTAATAACACGTTTCATAGGTATGAAAATTTAATGTGTTAAATAAATTAATGACGGCATTAAACAACTCATAGTGCACACATAAAATGTATATATTTTAAACTTTTCTTTGATTTTTTTTTTTTTTTTGTAATGACTATTTTAAAATTTTAAATATTGTATCAAGAAAATATTATTTTCTTTTTACAAGATGTTAATAAAAGTCATTCAAAGTTATATTTATCACTATATTATATAGAATAGATGGTAATAATTTTAAATTATACAACTTTAAATAAAAGCGCAATTTTATGAAACTGCATATTATATTATATGTGTGAACATTTCAAATGTACACAAAACAATAATAGGTATAACATAGAAATTATAATTTATTAATTTTATATAACAAAAATAAAACTAGGTACTTACTAAAATATAAATAGTATATAATTATGGCTTGGCGTAGACGTCATAAAGTATCTAAATTCTAAATAATTATTTATTTATTTTTGCGCGGTAAGTAATTTAATTAAGAGTTAATAGAATTTAATAATTAATAATGTAATAGTTATGTAATATATTATATTATTATGATAGAATTACCTAATTTAGTCAAAAAGATTAAAAATATAATAAATGAATTAATATAAATAATGGCTATCAGTTTGTATTCGACATCCGACCATGCAATAAGTGTGTGATTTTTTCGATTACGATTTATAGCTTTCTATAGCACGTTAATCTTTTCGGTGTCCAGTAGCCAGTAGGTAATATAATTTAATTATTATATAACATCTATATGCTGCACTTAATTTTTAACGAACAACAACATAACGGGCAACAATGCAATATGCATAAAAATGTTATATCCAATCGTACAAACTTAAATACTTTACCTAAAAAACTAACATGACGCCTAAACAAAAAAGTAACGCTTTATCTACGTTGATTCAATCATCATCAAACAAACCAAAATCAAAAATCTCTTCAATTCTTTTGTTGACTACTACCATCGTTGTGGTGGAAATTATTCCAAGAACTTCTTCCACCTCCACTACCACTAGCAATTTCTCACTACACATTGATATTAAGACTACTCCACTCCTTTCCATCTCATCTGCACTTCCTGCCAGTAACAAGCATGCCCCAACCACTATCGCTGTTTATACTAATTAGTAATTACAATACTTCTAGCAATATCCAAGCACAAATAATACATACTATTAGTTCCACAGTAAACAACACAGATAACAACATACGTTTTGCGTCCGCCGCTGCTATGGAAAATATATAGAGCGAAGAGCTATTATACTATAGCCGTTATAGTATTAACTATATTTAAGAGTATATTTTAGAAATTAAAAATGTAGTCTTACCCAAAATATTACATTTGTTTTGAGAATATTGAATAAACTTTTTTAGTATATTTTTATCTAGCAAACAAATATTAGATAACTTAATACAAACTACACAATTTATCAATATTAACAACCAAATTATATAAATATGTAGCAAAAAGATTTATTAAATATAATGCTTGCCCATCAATATCGACTAAGCAATTTTAGATGTCTTAAGAAATATGAAATAATTATGTTGCATTAAAGGCATTAATTTAGAAGACTATGGACATATAATAAGTTTTTGCTGTCAAATGTTCCTGAATCACGAAAATATTACAAAACTTCCCTGTTCATTATTAATTCATATCAAATCACATAGTCAAATCAGAAATTTTTTCACTGACGATAAAATAACTAAATCCTTGTTACTATGTAAATTTGTTGAAAACTAAACAACCAACCCCAAAAAAATACCAAAAATATATTGAATAGTAATCACTCCTTCAGTTTAATTGAAATAAACAAACTTTACCTAACCACCGAAAAATTAATGGAAGATATTCACCCTTCTATGTCACCTAATCTAAAACTAAAACTAAACCAAACAATTATAGACTGATTCAATAAAGCCAAGCTTACTTCGTCAATCAAGAATACTTATGACGAAATCCATAACTTTCCACCAAACGAAATTTATAAAATACTTATGTTCATTTCAACGTCTTCAGTTTCTTCTCATCCATTCACCGAATAATTACATTTTTTCTATGATAATCCTATAAATAAGGAAAAAAAATCATTAAAAAGCTAAAATACGATTGCGATTAAATTCGCCCAACTGACAAGGAAATCTCTCTAAAAAATGATTAAAACCAGCTGTAGAATTTTTCACAGCCAATGACCTATTGCCAATCATATTTTAAATTCAAATTTAATACATTCTAGATAATTTCACAAACAAATAAATGAATATTTGTTGAATAAAATTATAAAGTTCGGTGAATAGCTAATGATAGATTACCTAAACACGCCTAGAAAATCTATCAAGTCTATGCAATATGGAAAAAATACTCCTCCAGTTCATAAGAGGCAAAATACACTTTAATATTGTATAAAAAGGAAAACAACATCAAACTACATATAAGTCATATAGCTCTATTTAAACAAATACTTAAAACTATTAAACTAGCGAGTTCACTCCAAACAGTCAACATATTAATTACCAACAACTCCTTTCGGTTAGGTACTATACTATACTTCTATAATAGTACTCGAAATTTTGGATATCGCGATTGGAAGTGCACGGATGTGTATCATAGAAAGTTATTCTGAAAATTTGGTCAATTTTGTATTCTATTATTTCATTAAATTTACAGACTTTGACGATCCATCTAATGATATTAAATAACTCAAGATATCATCACATCATAATATATTACACAGATAAGTTTTAAATAACAATTTATGCTTACCCAATATTGTATCATAGTTTCTTTTCATCAAGTCATTGAAAACTAAATTATATAACATATTAATGGTTTATTTCAACAATCTCATGATAATTTTATGTTAAAAATAACGAGAAAATAAATATTTACTTAATTTTGAATTATTTAAATTAATTTCAAATATTTATAAAGAAAACAAATTTTGATTGCCACAAAAATAAATAAAAACAATATTTATTTTTCAAATTTAATCTACATATGTAATTATAAATATTTATTTTCTATCTGTAAAATAATATAAATAATTGAAATTTGATAAGCAAATAATAAAATAAATAAATACAACTTCTAAAATGACTATTGTAATAGCATAATATATATAATATATATTTGTTAAGATAGTAATCACTGGAAAACTGTTCACATTTAGAGCCAACGTCCTATTGATATTGACTTGCACATTTTTAATATAATACATAATGTAACAATAATATATGTATTCTAAACATTTTGAGAAATCTGAAACACAATGTTTGTTTAATAAGCACTCAAGATTAAAATATCTATCAGTAATTAGGCAAACCGAGATTTATTTGTATAGTTTTTGAAAAAAATAAAATCGGATGAAATAACTAAAATTATTATAAATTTACAAACTAAGTATGGTGGTTTTAGTAAATATAATAGTGTTATATTTCTTAGTGAGTTGATATCCATTAAATTTTCATTAAATGATTTTAATGATACACGATTTCGCTCTTATATATTTTTGCGGGTAATGGTATGGTACATGGGGCACTTAAGGACAATGACCTAGCCCCTTATTGATTCTACTGTTTCAAATGCATGTACGTAATATTATCAACACTTTTTTTATCCTCAACATATTTATAGATTGCATAGGTGAAAGAAGACACAACATATTAAAATGTTTTAAATAGTATTAAATGTCATGATTATATTTTAATATTAGACGATCTCCAAACAAATATTACCTGAATATTATTTTTTACAAAATGCATTTAACATAGTAACAATTAAATTAGAATAAAAGAAATAAATAGATTGTGATTCTCAAACAGTAATATTTATCTATTTAATTAAAATATTTAAAAATTATTACATAACTTAAATCTACATATTTATTCGTGAGTTTCGCTTATATTTTATGTATAAATGTATAATGCTCATGGTTTAGTCGTATGAAACAGTTTAAGTACAATAAATCAAGGTGTTTTAAATTTGATATAGAAACTGTTTTCATCGATAGTTTCATAATAAATAGCTTACAGTTTAATTAAAATTATTTTTTAGATTTTAATTCATCATATGTATATATTATCTTTAAAGTATTATTTTATTTTTATAGATGAATACACAAAGATTACAACGCCTAGACAAGACGTGTTGTTCAAAAAAGGTTACTTGGGAAGACGTAAGCACAATAGTGTACCAGTTATTACTGAAGCTTTAAATGAAAATGAAGGTCAGTAACATTAAATCAAAACAATAATTTTATAGAACAAATTTGTAATCGATATAAATATAACTATGCGTTTTAGACGGCGTTTCAATTGATATCAACCCTTTGGATGAGTTTTGTGCTCACGGCGAATATATTGACCCATCTATGATGTATATTCTTAGTGGTACGTAATGATTATGAATTATGGTATTTAATTACTACATACATTTATTATGTTGAAATAAACGTCGTTAAAAATGACTTTTTATTGATTATTATTTGTATTATAAATTATTAAACTAATATTAAATAAATTAACTATAACATAAGATAATATTTAATTATTATTTATACATGGATAATAAACCATTTATTTATCATTTTTCATTGATAAAATATTTGATCCATTGACGAATAAATGTAATTAATAATGTTCTTAAGCATTTTATATTGTAATTTAAATATGCAACCAAATAAGAAACTGTAGTTTCACAAGAGTTTTACTTATGGTTAAACATTTGTAGCTCATTCAATCCAAGATGTACACGTGCTTGTTATTTATCTTTTTTTAATCTTAAGTATTTACCTACTTAATAGGATATAAATTTAATATTTATTCATTTTAAAGAACCTACATTTTTATTTTTGTAGATATAAAATGCACTTATACCTCAAAATCTAACATCTATCATAAATATAAGAAAATTGAACTAATGTAATAGTTTATAGTGACGCTGCTTAAAAGTATTCACAGAAATGAAACTAACCATTTTGTAGAATTTAATTCTACGTTTGAAAATCAAAAAAATCTCATTTTATACACAAATAACTATTTTCTATCACGAATAAGTACAGCGCGTTAAAATGGAACGGTAGGTACACAATAAAAACGACAAAATAACTATTAGGTACTCAATAATTTAAAGAGAGATTTTTTTGTCCAATTATTTTAATTAAATATCATGAGGTTCATTTAATCCTAGTACAATATGATATGTTTTTAACCAACGAAATAGAAGTAATATACTTAAGCGATTTTTGTTGAAACCTCAGGTGGCGGGTACGAGATCTACGATCCGTACACTGGTAATGTGACTAGGCTGATGGGGCCGCCACCGGGTCACTATCCGCCGGTTGGACATCCGATGCTAGCGGCGATGTACCAGCCGATACCAATGCAACACGTTGACTGGTATAACCCTTCAAACGCAACTTCCGACTGGATATCAGGGGGTGCCGTATACCAGCCGAATAACAGACAGAATAAGAAATCAACGACTGCTGATACTCAGCAGGTAAAAATCTATTATATTTTAATCTTGTTATCGGTCTTTGATTACCTTCGGCCACCACAATTCTTTCGAATAGTGAAATTTTAGATTTTTATGGTCTATATAATCGGCGCAAAGCTTGCACGCAAACGATAACTGCTAGAAACAGTCTACTTGGAAACTCATCATTATACTTTACGATTATTTATATTTTAAATATTAAAATAAATTTTAAATTTATCACAGAACAACAGTACTCAGAGTTCAGAAGTGGGCATCGGTGCCCAGGAATCAAGTCTGGATGATCAGCAGAATGTATATCAGTCATCGCAGCCATATAATATATACCCTGGATATATGTTTGGCGCTGCTCTGTACAATTATAATGGTGAGTAAAAAACAACCTTGAAAAAAAATATTTCTGCTTATCATTTATTTGGTAAAAAAAGTTTGATGAATAAAAGATATATATATATATATAGATAACAATAAATGGAGATAGTAAGCGTATCACAATATTATTAGTATACGATGCTCTTGCAGTATAGTTATATAATTATTATATCCTCTTACTATTTGCATACAATTAAAACTTCTTTAATGTAAAAGATTTCAAAATTATTTTTATGATACCTAAATATTGTAAACATATACTAACTGTCTGATATGTGAGATGTTTATCAGTTTCGTTAACAAGTAAATGGTATTAGGTAATAATCATATTATTAAGTACTTATCAACGAAACACAACGATCGGCGATGATGATGACCTGAATATTATTAACTTATAGTTCATGTCCATTTAGATTACGTACAAGCCATTGCCAAACATTCCATACGTCTAATTTAACTTTGGCTTCGATAGCCAGAAAATATGCTGGTACATAACTTACATCCCGACGATTAGCACATAGCCATAATAATATTAGGTGATGAATGTTACCAATCAATATCACAGCTCCCGACATCATGACATAGACAACGTGTCTATTCTTCTCATTATTTCCTGTTTGAACTCGACGCCAAGTTTTCCCGTTTCAGCCTGAGTTTATTTTATTCATATTTATGAATGTTGGATGAAATGAACACGGTGTTTTTTAACCAGTCTTATTGTTCTTTATTCTATATGATGTAATGGAATGGGGCCAAAAGGCATAATTTCAAATTACTATTTTTATAACTGGCGTTTTTATTATAACTTGATGGAAGGTGAATTTGTACACGTACACATTTATGAAAATAATTTACTAGTTTAAAATCACAGAAACGATAAACGATTTTTAATTTGCGTTGTTAATGAGTTAGTTGTGATTTCTAAACATTATCAACTATTACAATCTTAATCTCTATTTTAGTATATTTTATTACTATATTACATCACACACTAAATAATTATGACATATTTTGCCTTTTTATTGTATACACATAATTGTATATTACATAAGTAATATGTATAAACACAATTTAGTAGATTGAAAATGCAAAGAATATTCAATATCTGTTAACTCTATTTGATTGAACAGAAATATTTTTTGGCTCAGTTTATTATGTATTAATAGATTTTCATGAGGTGAGACATAAAAAAATTGATTTTAAAAATTATGTATATTTTTATATGCATGCTTAATATATTACTATGTAAATACCGTACATAGGTATTGAATATATTTTTATTTAATTATCGTTTAGAAGTCACAAATAAATAAGGTATTTTTTTTTTAATCTATAAGTAATTTAAAAGCCTTTTTGTTTATTGGACGAAATATAATATTTTATTATTTGATAAATTAGAATTTTAGAGTAAAAAGTTAAAAATAAATAAACATTGAATATAATAAAATGTAACTCGATTAATTAAATCCAATTTTGTGAAATTTTTATCAATATAGATAAATTTATTGTTAATTATAGGTGTAAACATTCAAGTTCCACAGACTCAGTCACCTCCTTCTCCTTCAATTAGTTGTGATTACACTAATGGAAAACGACGAAAGAAAAAAAAGCGCAGAAAGCGAGGAGACGTAAGTATCTTTACACAAAACTTAACTCAGTAAAAATACTCAAAAACTAACTCATGTCGAATCAATTAGATTAAAATATTTCATCAATTTTAAGTTAAATTATAGGTACTTATAATATGCATGTATTACATTTACAAATATAATGCAACTTAAGTAATTTTTTTCATTGCACACTATAACTAAGCTATTTTAAACATTTTAATTTACTATAATGTTCTGTTAAATTTTATTATTTAAAAATAAAAGTAAATTGACATTCCACTAGGAACAAGTGATGCGGAAATAACTCACAATTGACATTTTAAAAATAAAAAAATAGAATTAGTTACTCTGGCAATCACCAACACTATTTAAACATAAAAGAATTAAAGGTAAAAGGTCAATAATGTGGTTTAAAAATAAATTTATGCTATGAGAACGTCTGTCGTAGTATTCGGTATCAAATAGCAATTATTTATATTTTTAACCAGGGTGATCCAATCCGCGACCCTTAAAGCCCTTATTTTTTGTCCCTTTCCCCTAGAAGATTTATATTTAAAAAAAAAATCACAATAATTTAATGACAAAATTGTAATATGACTATATGACGTATACTTTTTAAATTTTATAGTATTATAGTATAAAACATAGGTATAATGAGTAATGTTCAAAACCATGATTCACTACATAGGTATTGTATTTGTATAGCAGACATAGTGAAACCTTAATTTTTCTCTTGAAATTTTGTCATTATTTAATTTTTTTTTTTGTTATTAAGTACGTATAATTGTGAATCGGCATTTCCTAGAGTGAATTTAATAAAATCTAAATCAAGAAACCGTATTGAAAATTCATCTTTAGAATTGTTTTTCAGATTAACTGCCACAAGGTGTTCAATTGATATTGAAAAATTGGTTTCTAAGAAACAATGCCATCACATTATAGTTTTTAAATCTAAATTCTAAATTTTAAATTTATGTAACCTAATTATCATAACTATATGTTAATATTAATATGTGATGCTTTAATTAATGCATTATATAATATTAAAAAAAAAAAAAAAATTAAATATATTAAATAATAATACCATTTTTTTTTTTTTTGCGGCCCTCGGTGTTTTTATGAAAGTGTAACATGGCCCGCAAACTACAAAAGATTGGACACCCTATTTTAAACCATAATATAAATATGATGAAATTGAAATAGCTATGTTATTAAAAAACTAAATAAAAATTGGATTGCAATTATTATACTAGAGATTTAGAAAAATTAAGTGACTCTGCCTAGTTAAAAATTAAATCAATAAACACGTATACTTAAATTTATGGAATAAAAGTTCAATAAATATTATTTCTTCTTCTAAATTTATTAGTATTTATTTTAAACCTTTTTTTATTAGTTACATTAGAATTTAAATAAATCAAAATTTTTTTTTATAATCTGTGAACTAAATTGTATTATGTACTAATGTACGGATACAGATAGATTTAGACAAGAGTAGACATAAAAAGGTAACATACCTATTATTTATTAAATTACATAAACAATAATTTAAAATAATATTTAGAAATTTAAACAATGTTAGAATAAAATATTAATTGTATTGTTTTATAGAAATCTTTAGTTTTTAAGATTTAAATCATAAATCGATTGATTAACTAAAAATAATTAATGCATTTATTTAAGAAATTTCTAATATTTATATTATTTTTAGGTAACTGATGAATACTCAGATTCTAGTTCAGAAGAACAAAAAAGTCAATCGGGTGCTAGTTGTGACCTCGTACTGGACTCAGAAAAGACCTCTGATTCGGGTGTGCTAACAAACAATAGTGGTGGTTCAACGCCAGTGAATGTCATACCCGTTCAGTTGTCCCACAGCGCTACACCATTCCATATGGAATGTCCACCACCGTTTGAAATATTGCACGGAACACCGATCCTCGTTCATCATCATCCGGATCAAATAGCTGCATATTACCAACCGATACCACAATATGCGGAACAATCAGCCCCAATCGGTTACCAGGTTATACCAGAAGAACAAGCTGAAGTAGCAGAGATCATTGATGACCAACCGGATGCCGAACCAGCTCCTAGCTATTCAGCAGAAAACTCCGACTCAGGCATTAGCTCTCCAAACAGTGAAGTAATGATCAAAGCGTCGACAGAAAATAAACATGAAAAACCACAAGCTGTTAATGGTAACAGTGGACAACCGTCGACTAAAAAAAGTAGGAATAAGAAGAGTAAACAGCGAGATAAAACTATAACAGAATCAGTTATTAAGACAAAGAGTAAAGACTTGCCGAAAAACCAACATGAAGGAAGTAAGAAATCATCAAAAATCGCTAAAGAACCAGCCATTATAAAAAAATTAAATGCCAAAAAGAACAAATCTAAACCAGAACATGAAAAGTTAGAAACTACAAAACCACTTAAAGAAGAACAATTGAAAGTAGAAATAGAAAATATTTCAGAAGAAATTATTCAGTTATCAATCAGTCCGGAGACGGAGTGGATACAAGAAGAAGAATTTTGTTCGTTGGAGTGTACTCCCAGATCTACGACAGATAATATTCATTTTCAATTTACCAAGACACAATCGCTTGATTCATGTGAGTCTGTGGAAGAGGAAACGTTTGCGACGGCGGTGAACACCGGTAATTCTGATACGGAGAACGAAATCAGGCAAGACGAAGTTGGAAAACTAGAATTGGCATCACCTATCAATACAGCAATCCCGGGACCGATTACAGAAGCTGTAACGAAATGGTTAAATGATCAGGGCGGCTTAATGTTATCCCCATGTTTAAATGATTCAAATGATTCAGGCACTGATGATGGTGAACTCAGCGAATACGACGATTTCGAAGAACACTTAAGTACAACTAGTCCAAAAAACGTGCAAGGCAACCCTTACCCTGCGCTGTCTCGTAGTGACGGGTCAAGGGTTGCTGGTTCTTCATCTCACGATCAACGACAAAGCGGTCTTATATCCAGTGGCATATGTTGTTTAACTCAATAATTATTTAGACAAGGTCATTATATTTAAAACAATATATACATTGTAATTATTTACGATAAAACCTGTACAAAAAAAAAAAAAAAAGTAATACGATAAGGACACTACTTACAGGGCATGAAAAATTCACATACAATGGCCGACCTCTTGAAAATTAGGCCCTTTGTACAGTTCCTCAGGCATACATTAAAAAATAACAAATTAATCACTTCTTTTAATAGTCTTTTTTAATATATTTCATTCTAAGTTAAGTTTTCAATGCTATAAGAAAAGAAAAATTTGCATTTAAATTCTTTTTAAATGATTATGTTTAGGTCGTTTCATTATTCATATAATGCAAATTTTTCTTTCATTTTTATAAACCATGGAAATTTGGTGTAATTATGAGACTGCTTTTTGGATCTCCTCTTCAGGAGTAATTTGTTAATAAGTTCATTTTAAAATTTGTTAATCGTTATCATTAAAATAAAATATTTTTGTCGTTAACAATCAAGGTTAAAATGGCATAAAAATTAAATATATAATATAGTTAAAAGAAATATTGTTATCTTTGATTCGCATATTTAAATGGATATGAATGGGTTCAGTATCTTTTATCTAAATACAAATTATTGAAATGTTTCATTAACAGTCTGCATGTTATAATATAACACTGTTATTTTTGTAATGTTTATTACCTAAAGGCTATAATTTATTACTCGTAATTGCAGAGATCAAATTAATTTTATTTAAAAATATAATAAATTTGGATTTACTACTTTTCCCTGCTACTCCCAACATCGATTTTTAAAATTTACTGTTTGTTTTAAATAATGGATTTGTACACAAGCTATTATTTAATATTTGAGAATATATATATATATGTATATATATATATTAATATTTTGGAGGATGAGGTTATAGAGTTCCATTAAAAGTCATTAATGTGTAATTTGAAAAAAAAATTACTTAATTATCTTGTATTGAGATTTACTAGGTATTAACAATCTCAGTAACGCTCAACTACTTATTTCAAACCTTTATATAATATATTATACACAAAATACCTAACTTATTGATTATTTTATTTAGATTCTGAAATGGTCCGATTGACCATCAAAATTAGGTGTATCTAATAGGTACTATAATTTAGAATACTTAGTGTTTAATTTATAATAAGTAGTACATAAGATACCAAATAGTAATAAAAGTAGCCGATAACAACGGTACTGTCTGAATTTGGTGCTTATACTTAAAAAAAAAAATGATATTACAATTTTAGTTTAACTCTAATAATATATAGTTAATATATAAAAGTTGATATAATAATACAAATTAAACATTATTAGTTAAATTGTTTGGGTGATATTTAAATATGCATAGAATGAGGCTGCCTGGATTTTACTGTTGTGTTATTTATAGAAATTTAATTTGTTATGAAACATTTAATAATTGGTTTAGGGTGTTCCAAATGTATACAGTGTTTTTATAAAACATTATTTTTTCTAAAACAATATTATGATTAATATTTTTTATGATATGCAAATGTTTAGTTTTTAAAAAGTACATATTAATAATGCAAATTCCCTTCCTCATATCCATAACTTTGTTCTTAAATAAATGGGTATGTTTACTTACATGTAAAATTAACTTATACAAAAAAAAAAATATGATGTCTTGATGTTTACTCACTCTTACAGATTTTTCAAGCTATACTCGTTATAGTTTTAAAGATTTTAATGCACAGTTATTACAAAAGTTATTTCAAAATAAAATTGGTTGTACTTCATGCATCAATAAATACAACTTAAGGCGTTGTTAATATGTAAGTTAGGATAATATTAATAGTAAAAATACATGTATGGCCATTTTTAATTTTTATTCTGTTAAATATTTAGAAAATATGTTATACAATTATAACTTTTTTTTAGTAGCCCGTTATTATTGTTATTTAACAACAATATTTTTATCTTATTGGTGATGTAGTTATTAAAAATGTATTAGATATAATAGTATGTATTGCTGAGTTATTAATATAATTTGAAGTAAAATAATGTATTTAGCAGTTTACTTACACATAAAGAGAACAGTCGATAATATTGTAGGTATGACAACAAATAAATGTATACATACATGTAATTTTCAAAAATCATTGTTATGATATGGTCCGATAAGTTAAAATCGATTTTAAATTATATTACCAACCTTTATTGTTATACTATTAATGCACTAACTAAATTATATCAATACTTAAAAAATCAGTATTAAGCCAAGGATATTTTAACGTTTACTATTATATACATTTTTTTTTTTTTACATATACATAGACACTTATCTATAAAATATCTATAATGTAACAATATCATCACCCCTATCCTTGTCTGGTTTGGCTTAATTTGTGCAAGAATATAATATTATGTCTGTTTATATACAAATAAATAAGTATATATATATATATTATATATGGTTGGAGTGTGTACATATATATATATTTATTTATAATTACAATATATTGTATTACTATTTTGTTATGCAACATGCTAAAAGTTTAGGCTTTTGATAATTAAGTGCCTTAGGTCATTCCTTTATAAGCGAAATTATTCGAAACGGAATTTGTTTTGTTTTCGTTCAACAACATCGCGTCACTTTGTCTCGTACATAAGACATTGAAGATCGTTAATTTATGATTGTGTACTGGTTGATATATGCATGCTAATTATATTTTACTTTCCAATTTTTGGAGAAAAAATAGCATATTTAATGTTTATTAAATAAATATATGAAAACCAAAATTTGTTTTGTTTTTATTTCTATACATATTTTAAGCAGCAATAGAATTTGAAAAAATTATGTTTAATGTAACAAAAATGTTAAAAAGTTTTCAACATATTATAATAGTCTATTATATGGGTGGCCAAACTGTGACTCTCGACATAGTCAGATGTAGCTCACGTCTTTTTATAATTATTAATATAAATTGTTATGTTTTTGGTAAGTAAACATTAATAAAAATGTATCAAATTATACAAAATATATTCAAAATACCTATATTTATAAACATTTTGGCTCTTGGTATCAGTGTATTTATTTATGTGGTTTGCCAACATATTCATAAATCACTGATCTGTTATAAAATTAATCGTTTAGTAATTAATAATTACTATTATAAATTATAACAAATATTATTATTAACTGAACAATCAATAACTATCTAGATCTTCGTCACTAGATGTCGCTATCTTATATGAATATACGCTTTTTATTGTATTTCATTCAATTTATACTCAGGCCAAAATAGGTTTAAATTTTTTTGTGACAAACTATACTATTATTTTGAACAAAAGGGACATTCAAGATCTTATATATATAAATATCTTATAATTACAAAATTTTATTGACTAATGACTATGTCAATAGTACGATTTATGGTATAATAACTTATTTTCTGTTATTAAATAGGTAGGTTATATTGGTAATAAAAGATAAGCAACTATAACTCAATCTAATTTGGACTATTGGGCACAAAAAAAAAACTTAGAAACCAAAAATAAACAGTTTGATTTAGTTTAGTGTTAGCGTTACATTCGTTCAAATTTTGGTAAGCAAAAAAATTAATAAGGTTTAAACGTTCGAAAACTAAATATTACTTGCTGATTAGTATTATATAAGTGACAGGTCACAAATAAAATGTATGAAGAAAATTATTATATTTTCCTGTTTGGAAAAATTATAATACTCGTTTTTAATCAAATTTGAGCGTATAACTTTATAATTTACATGATGAATAGAGACAAATTATTGTATTAAAAGTGCGTTACTCTAATAATAATGTTTGTTATCAATATATTTATATATTTTACTGGACATTGCCCTACTTAGCTATATCAAAATCAATTTCCTGTAGAGACACCCACTTGTTTCACTGAAAATAAAATAAAAATCTGCAGTAGTCAATACAATTTAACATGTAGAGCTTCTAAAACTAATATTTAAATTTTAATATAGCAAAAAAATAATAAAAATATGAAGTTAATAGTTTTTTTAATTATTTTGATTATTGAGAGGTTACATTGCCGGTCTGCAAATGATTTTTTGAAAGACGTATTTTCAATTGAAGATGATCTAAAAGAACAAAAATGCTCAACAATGCAATGTCAAACGGCAGGTAATTATCTAAACACCATTAATTAATAAAAAATTATAATAATATATTATTAATGTTTAGGTAAACTTTTCTCAAAATAGTTTTTATATTTATTTATTTATTAGACTCTGAGGTTAACAATAATGTACCATATGTATTATGTAACAATTAAAAAAAAAAAAAAAAAAAATGTGAAGCTAATTATTAGCTAAGCAATAGAATATTACAAAGCTTTAAAAATATGTATTATAATTCACTACTGTTATAGAATATCTGTTGAAGAGTATAAATAGATCAGTAGATCCATGTGAGGATTTCTACGAGTTTACGTGTGGTTTATGGGTAAGAGATCATCAAGTTAAAGCCACTAAAGTGTCTTGGTATCAATATAAAGAGGCAGAAAAGAGTATAACACATAATTTAAAAGGTATTTAATAAATTAATATAAAATTGTATACACTCTCTTAGGGTTAAAGTTAGTACATTACTTCTAAAGGTCATACAAACAAACGCACCTGACTATGTATATTTCGTTAATAACATGTTTAAAAATAAAAAAATCTTTAATTTGAATAGTAAGGCATTAATAACATAAATATTCTTTTTGTTTAGTTATAAATTGTATAATCATATATTTTAGAAATTTTGGAAGACAACAATCCTGATACAATTTTAGATCCAGCGCAAAAGTTCTATAAAAGTTGTTTAAATTCTGGTAAATCTCAAAATTGTTATCAAACATGAGATATTTATATTTAACGTAAAATTACTTAATCTTATGTCCTTAGTTAGTAACGGAATGAATATTGAATATTTGAAATCGATTGTCTCATTATTTGGTGGATGGCCAATCGGACAAAATGACCACAGCGACAAGTTACAATCTTTGGATTGGATTAAAATGTATATTTATATGGAAAAAAACTGGAAAGTATCAACAATTTTAGACACTGGTATATCCATTAATTATTTGAATACCAGTCAATACATTTTAATGGTAAATGGGCGTGATGTGTTTGCAATGATTTTAATCGGTTTTATATAGAATTATAATGTATAGATAGGGCAGCCAGATTTAATGTTACCGAGATCAATGTTTATGAACCCAGATCGATACAAGACTCAAATAAACGCTTATTCAAAACTTATCGCTGGTACGGTATTTTTGTTGCACGAAGAATTTGGGTCTAAATTCACTCGAAGCAGACATTTCGGAGATGAAATCGCCGATGAAATAATTAAATTCGAAATTCAATTGGCCAAAGTAAGTGCTTTAAATATTTTGAAAAAAATAAACTGTATGTCTTTTATAATATGAATAGATACAAAGCACCGGAGAAATAAGAAAAAGCGAAAAGGTATTAAAGAATCGAATAATGACAATAGACGAACTTCAAAAAGATTTGAACAATGTATCAGATTCGTTTCAGGTACCTGTAGACAATAAATTAAAATTACACCGCCCTGTTTGGTTTACGTACTATTCGTACACGTGCTTATGAACTAATAACGTATACATTATATATTATAATACTTTTAACAGGTTGATTGGTTAAAAATGTTTCGGCTTCTTTTTAAAGGAACTGATGTACTTCTAAAAAAAACAGAACAAATATTTGTTAAAGAAGAGAACTATCTAAAAGACTTAGTACGGTTATTGGAAAAAACGCCAAAAAGAATTTTAAGTATGTTATACATAGGTAGTCATAAATGTCATAAATTTACTGTGAAATTTCACATTATATATTAATATAATTAGTTTTGTAATATTGTAGTAAATTATATGTCATGGTGCCTTTTAAGATCCATGTTATCTGATATCAAAGAAGATTTGAAAAATCTCGTTCAAGACTTTAATGTGGTATTCACTGGAGATGTTAAAGAAGTTTCTAGGTAATATTGAAATAATAATAAAGATGTTTAATTTATTAGTTCGAAACTTAGTAAAAATATAATGTGCATAGACATATTCTATTCCCCATATTATATTATATGGATAATCAATTTTTTATGATCATATGGGTTCCAATTAGTCAAACATATATGAAAAATTAACAATAAGTCTTAATTTTTCAGAATTTAATATCATTTTTTTTCTTTTTACTGACAAGTAAAAAATAAGTAGGTATTAGGTGTATTAAAATTATGTTCAGAGAAGCTTTTTTTAATATTTAATAATAAACTTCGTTATTTGTTAATTTGTATTAATTTATGTCTTGTAGGTGGGTGGATTGCGTATCAATTACCAGTTCATATTTTGCATTTAATGTTGGTTATAAATACGTCACTAAGTATTTCGACGAGTCTACGAAAGACATGGTGAGGTATTATAATAACTTAAGACACATTTTAAACCTACTTGATTTGATCACGTTATTATAATAATTACACTGCTGATTGGAGTTTAAATTTAACGTTGAAATAAAAATCCATAGGCTACAGAAATGGTTAATAATATACAAGAAGCTTATATGGAACGATTAGAGAACATAGTGTGGATGGATTCGATTACTAGGCAATCCGCTATCGATAAATTACAGTCAATGCACAAATTTATTGCATACCCTGATTGGTTCCATGACACTTCATATTTACACAATAAACTAAAAATCGTAAGCATGTTAAACCAGTACACACAGGTACTTAATCAATAATATTGTAATAAACCGTTCGTATAAAATGGATACAATTAATACATTTTTATTTTATACGGTATAGTTGATACTATATATATTATAGATATCGCAAATTTTTGGTTTAAAATTAACTGTTGTGATTATTAAGATCAAAATATTACAAAAAAATCAATTTCGGTTTATGAAATTGGGATTATTATATTGGATGAATACTTTTTGCTTTAGGTAAATATGACAGACAGTTATTTGATGAACTTGGAGATACTACAAAATGAATCAAACTTAAAAAAGCTTTCAAAATTAAATAGTTTTCATAATCATACAGAGTAAGCAATATTATGTATTAAATTGGTGATTTTTTGGTTTTGATTTTGTTGTACAAAATGTGTTTCAATATTATATAATAAGTAGTAATAAATTATAATAAATGTATTTAGCATAAATCGAAATGTTGACTTCCCGACATAAGATATAATACTGCATCCGTTTATTTACCCATAATACTTATAAACAAATATTGTACAAAGTTGCACTAATTAGACTATAAGAAAAACTTGTTCAATTGATGTGAAGAGTGATTTTATTAAAAGCAGATATTTATACTAATACATTAATTTACATTTTATAAATATTACATTCACGTTATACGATTATGTTTGTCTTACAGATGGACAACGGATATAGTTAGTGTAAATGGATACAACGATATTTACTCGAACGCAATAGGTAAAATAGTAATTTAAGTTCAATTATCTTTAATAAAAGCGATTTAAAAATCATATTAAACATTATTTTTATTCATATTCGTGTAAATATATAATTTATAAATTGTTGATTGCTTAATTTCTTTTATAGTTGAAAAGCATTTTAGATTAAAAATAAAAAATTTTTGCTTGAAATAATTTTAATAGATTTTATATTTTATTTATAAGCACATAGCAGCACGTATTTATATTGATCGTCTTGCGGAAGGCAATCTGCATGGTAGTGCACGTTATTAGTATTTCAATTACATTTAATTTTTAATTTTCAAAGCTTATCTTTGATGTATAGAATATCTTTAAATCATACATATTTTATTTAAATTAGTACAAAAATACCTATGGTAGTTATAGCTGAAATGTATGTTTACTTAAATAAATATAGAAAACCAAAGTTAACTGAATGATATTTTATATTTACAATAAACTACGTCGGAAAAACCCATATTAATTTGTAGAGAAGGAAAGAAGAAATGATATTTTTCATTTTATAAAAAAAGTATCATCAAAAAACATCCATTTTAAAATTTTGTCTTTCACGACAGTGTCCGTATTACATTACATTATTATGTAGTTATAACTTTAAAAATAATTACTAATTATTTAGATTTTTAATAAACTTATTTTTTCAGTTTTACCAGCTGGAATGTTACAACTTCCATTTTACCACAAAAGTCGAATTCAGTGAGTGCATATTAAATACCTACTTATTTGTAAATGGGATATAATATACACTGGTGCTCTCAAACGTGCTTATAAATATTTTGTTTTTTATATTTTAGGGCTTTAAATTATGGAATGGTGGGTTTAGTCGTAGGACACGAAATAATGCATGCATTTGATGATTCCGGTCTGTATACCTACACTTTATTATGTAAAGTAGGGTTTCATGAGTAATCATGAAGTTTTGTTTTTTATAATTAGGCAGAATGTATGATAAACATGGCAATAGGCGACAATGGTGGACTCAAGAAACACAGGAGACGTTTTCAATAAAAGCCGAATGTTTCGTCCAACAATATAATAATTATAGTTTGAATGTTCTTGGTAACGAAGTTAAGGTAGAGGATTATATTATTTTCGACTTGATTTCAAACAAACATTTATTACTATTATAATTTATGTTTAATTTAAGCAGAGTATTAAATTAAACTTTATGTTATAAAGCCTTTTAGGCTTATTTTTTATACTGATTAAAATGCGGTATGCTTTAAAAGTTGAACTAATTCTAATAAATATGGATTTTTTTTTTTTAAACCAGTTAAAAAAAAGTTAAAATAATAATAATCTTTATTTGTAAACACAGTCTAAATAATTTTGACTCTTCACACTTTTACAGATATTAATGTTTTTTTGGTGATTTAAAACTGAAAAACCCATACAATAATTAAAACATTATTCAAAATATTAACTTTTTTTTAGATAAATGGCCAAATGACTCAAAATGAAAATATTGCAGATATAGGTGGTTTAAGTCATGCTTACATGGCATACCAAAAGTACGTATCAAAACATGGCGCAGAAAACCGGCTACCCGGATTAGAGGATCTGTCAGCTGAACAATTATTTTTCATTGGATTTGCTAGCGTAAGATGTCGTTTATTATCATTGATATTAAACATATAGATACGGATTTACTTTCTATACTAAACATTAAATTTTATGCCAAAATAACGGAGTGAGAAACACTTTGTAACACTCGTACAGAAGCTTTTGAGCGATTAAGAAACTAACATTTAAACAAAAGAGTAAAGAGATATAACGATGTAACAACTAATTATAATATCAGTTGTGTTGGCTTACAAATTTGTGTATAATACAACATTCGTACGTTTAATATCAACGCCTATTACGTACATGGTTTTTTTAAATTTTAAATTTAATTTAAATTTACAGATATGGTGTGAATCGACAACTGAACAAACATTATTAAACGATTTATTGACGGACGTCCATAGCCCAGGTAAAATTCGAGTATTAGGAACCTTATCAAATTCTAATGAATTTTCTAAAGCTTTTCGTTGTCCAATTGGATCTCCCATGAATCCATTAAAAAAATGTAAAATTTTGTAAAATATTAAAATAAATAATTGAACAATTTTTTTTTTTTTTTAATTTCTATTATCTTTCTACAACGTAATTCGTCAATAAATAATCGTTAATATTAGATGAAAATAAATTTTTCATTATGGTACATTTAAAAAAATATATTTGATATTGTTTGTAATAGAAGGATTAATAATATATATATATCATGTTTTTGTATGCATATTCTGTTATTTCGACTTTAAAAATTATAAACAAAACATAAAATATCACAACAAATCGAACAGTAAGTATAAAAAAGGAAATCACTAAATCAGGAAAAAGAAATCATTTATGCTTAACGTATTTCATTTTAGTTAAATTTCCATGTAATAGTTGGTCAAACTTGTTATAAAATATGATTAATATTCCAGACATTGAATATTTTTCAATATTTTAGTAAAAACATAAACTTGTATTTTGAATTATAATTTATTGGCTTATTGTGCTTGCCATGAAAGTAATAAATTCTATATAATAATTATTACCAACAATAGTTGACTGTTTTCTTCACTAAATTTTTAACTCTCTGTGGTATTAGTTTTACACAAAATATATTGCCTTATTTTGTTGTTATTAAAAAACAAATAACCGTCAATACTTGAAATTTTCACCAAATATTTATATACAAATTTTATATACATCGTATAATTTTTGAAATATTTTTACTCTTTATCGCATTTGAGTTATTTATAGATATTTGATATTTTATTATTATTATTTTTTTTTTTCATAAATATTGATAGAAAGTTAAATTTGGTCAAAAATTTTAAACATTTAATATCATTTTCCTCAAAACCTATTAGTGTTTTTATTGAAATCAATACAATAGTTTTTTTTTTTAGATATTTAAACTAAGTATAATAATTTTAGTTTTTTTGTTGCAATATAAAAATATTATTTATATATAGTATTGAAACTTTTATGTACGAGATATTATTACCGTATACTACAGACCAATTTATATTGTTCTACGATTAGTTAGTATTGGCTATTGACTCAATAGAGTCAATAGTTAATAACGATAATATATTATATAACATAATAAATATATGTTACTATAATAATACTAGTTGACTCACTAAAAGTTGTTTTCCAATAAAAAATTTTTATATTTTGTAACTGACTCAACAAATGTTAAATACGCATATGGTTGTGAGTTCATACGAATTTCTAACAAAAAAAGCATATTTAGTTGTTCCTGAACTTTTCAATTTTCCAGACTACTTGTCCAATTTTTCATTCAATAAAAACTTTACTCTAATTATTACAAACTTTTTTTTTTAATGTGCTCAATCATTTCGTTTGTCTTTAAATTATGCACTTACCAACAAACAGTATTTTATTTATAGAAATGAATGAAATTTTTTAGAAAAAAATGAATTCAACTTATCATATTACTATTAGTAAAATAAATAACTGTGATAATTAATATAAATATATCATAAAATATACTTAATAATATAAATTGACAAACTGTATTCATTTAAAATTATTTTGTATGGAATAATTTATCATTAAATCCAAACATACACCTTACAGTAACTTGCACAATCACGAGGTACAGCAAAGTGATTATCTATTTTCCTTCTTTTTAATTGTCCACGATGTCTCCTGTTAGTATAATAACAGACAAAATTAAAAAAAAAAAAACAATTGTATTAGATGATAAGAGTTATTATGTATTATTAAAAATCATTCACGACATGTATTAGACTCGGATGTTATTTTTATTAATACTTTTTATTTATAACATACATCATATATTTAGATATGAAATATTCTGGAAATTGGTCAGTTCAATATTCAACGGATTAAGGTAACTTTTATTCGTGATTTGTGAGTTTTAAACTACATAATAAGTGAATTGCATTCAGTTTTAAAATAAGTAATGTTCAAATTGCACTTAAGTGAAAAAAGTTGTACTCAAATCCCTCATGTTCTGATCATTACAAAAACGTATTTACTAATAATCAGTTAGTATATAGTAAACTGTAATTTTAATATATAAAAGTTATTGTCTTTATTGTATTAGTTTCTTATAGTTACAGTTTAAAAATAATATAATGAAAAGAAATTTTAATTTAAAAATCAATAAATAATAATATAAGGTATAATGAGTAAATATTTTCAGAAATAATAAATTATAATGAAAATAGTTTCAAAACTTTTGTTTGTAATAATTGTAAAATCCACATTTTTAGATTCGCCATTATATTTTACTTTTATTTTTAAATGAATTACTCTACGAATATCAATCGATTTTTAACTAAATCAATATGTACAATATATTCCAATTTTTATTGAATAATAATCGAGTGAAATGCAATCCATACATTTTCATTTCTGAGCCTGAGTGCAATTTGAACATTTTAGTTTATATAATGAATACATTATCCTAAAAAAGATAACTGTCAATATTATTACATATAATTCTTGATTCCCGCATCGTTGTATACATTATATATTTATTTTAAGTACACTGCAAACATGATTACGTCGATATCAACAATAATATGCAAACATGATTATATGTCGATATCAATAATAATATTACATTATATTGTATTATACATAATATGAAATGTTTAAACTTATATTATACTATAATCAATCAATCAGTTATTAGTTATAGTCAAGCACTCTTATTCACATGACTACAGTGTTACAATGTATCATTAGTTTCTACAGGTATTTTTTCAGAAGTGGCGTGGCAAAAGAATAATATGAATTTGAATAGCATTTTCTTAGGTTATAGAAAGTATGTAACCAGTGATGATGGTATACTAAGATATTAGATTATAATAAATAAACGTTATTTGGGCTAACAAAAAGTTAGGACGTGTAAATATATAGGAGTAGATAACAGATTTAAATACAAATGCCACGCCACTATATGTATGTATGTATAAATGTAAATTTTTGATGTGTAGGTGTATGTATTAAGTACGAATATACAAAACGAAAAAAAGGAAAAATTTTAAACGTTCATTATATTATGCGTTTCATAATACTTTCTATCGAATATTGGAGACATGATCTAAAGGCGAAAACAAATAATTAGCCATTATAACATGTATTTTATTGGAGATTAGGGATTTCTGAGTATTTTTTTATTTTATTTGTTTGCTTGTTACACGACTGCTTCTACTGCTCGCACACTAATGATGGCGTAGCTTCGACGTCGGGTGGTGTCACAGCCACTGTGACAGCGTTGTGAAATTGTCCACTTGAAACAAGTCTCACCGTGGTCACCCCACACATAATCGTCTCCACAGCGTTTTCTATGGAAGAAAATTAGCGATACACAACTCGTAATATTATACTAATAATAATCAAACGAATATCTATTATAAAATTCTCACACGGCTCTTGAAATAGGCAATTTTGGTACGCGTAAATAAACATTGCGAAATTGTTATGTGATACTTTTTTCACCGCCGGATCAGTATTTTGTTATTTTTTTACATTTATTTGTTAAATTTTAAACATTATATAGCTCATATCAATTATTTTTTAAAACTTTAGCCTCTCTCTAGAATTTTCACCTTAGGCGCGCTGCTATGATTCCACTATTCATCAAATAGTATTATACGAGAAACATGATTTAATTGGAAACTTTCGACTACGAGACTATGAAATAAAATACGAACGATTTGTTTTATACATAATGAGAACCTCTAATCGATTCCAGTGTTACCGTTATTTTGTTGTACAGTAAAATATATTTACTGCTATAGTAATACTTAACTTAATGATAATAAGTTGTGTTGTCTTACTCACCTGGTTTCGAGTTTGTGCCGCAAATTGAATCAATCATGGACAACTGAGCTAAGCCGTCCCCACCGCCGACTTGAACAAAATCTGGCAACCCTTGTTTGTCACACTATTAATTAATTAATTTTGATTTCGTCAAAAGTCACAGTAACATAATTAATCATACTATAAATATACGATATGTTGTTATAATTGAGTTAGTAAATACATAATTACGTATAATATTATATATACGTTTATAATTTATGAGTCTGCTCCTCTTGTGCTAAAGACGCTGACGCGTAATATAACAGAAGCCACGTACGAATGACTTATTTTTTTCATTTATTGCCATAATAATGATTATATTATAATATATATCATATACCTTGTGAATCGTGCCGGTTTCGCGTTCCGTTGGTGTCCTTTTTTGTTCATGCCCGAGACCAACACCCAATGCTAAGATTTTCACCTGAGCCGGATACAACATCGTCAGACTGCAGTTTACTGGTTTTCCATAATTCCTCAGCGTGTGCACGTCACTAATGTCAGCCATAAGTATGTTGCAAGCTACAGCGACGAATTACCAATTACAGAAGTAATAATCGTTTTCGTAGTAAAAAAAAAAAAATCATTATTTAATTTAAAAAAAAATAAAAAAATACTCATGTGTTTGTATTGGATGAAAGCATTGAAGAATTTTTTTCAGAAATTTGAATTCTCAATTGTCGTTTAATTTTAGAGTGCCAAAAACAATTATTTAAAAAATGCAATTAAATGCGTAATTTAACGTTTTGGTATTTGTGTAAATTATTACATTCTACATGATATGATAATAAATTCAACTCTTTGAGGATTCTGTCACTGAACTGCCCTGCCTCTATTATTAGTAATGATGTTAATAATTTTCACATCATATATCATACTTTCTTATTGTACTTATGAATATCGAGCGGAAAACCACCGTGCCCTGGTCGTAATAGTGGCACATTATGATGACTTAGCAGAACTGACGTCCCGGGAGGGATTTCTGGGGTGCTTGATTCCAGGGAGCACACCATGGTTTCTCGCCTAGAGGAAGATACTCCGCAATTACATATAAGGGTGAAGTATCGCTGAGATAAAAGTCAGACAGACTTGTCAAACCCCGTAACACACAGAAAGATCTACTTATGAATTATGATACAGATTGTAAATTTTCTATTTTAATAAAAAAAAATTAAATTAAATATCTATATTATTATTTTAACGGCGTTATATATTATGTCAACCCTACTCATACAGTATATTCAATAGAATATTTTCAGAACCAATAAATTTAAATATTAATTGATTTAAAACTTCTTAACAACAATTTAAACTTTAAAAAATTATAACACGAGTACTGTTAAAAGAAACCGAATTATATAACCAACCACTTAATACGTTCATTGATTACGGGCCTTCTTCATGTATAAAAATATTGACAAAATCATTACTATAATAACTACTATATAGATACTATATATGTATACATATAGAACTATGTGTTATTATAAATACAATTTTAATTGATTGTAATATAATAACATTTATAATTAAACAAAATTTAATTATATATAATATATGTGTTCATCAAATAAACGGAAAAAGTTGGTTAATTGGTAAGATGCTACGATACATTTCTTTAACTAATATCTTATTTAATGCGAATACGCAATTGTGTTTGTACATTAACGTGATCGATTGTTTTTGTTAAATAGATCAGGGAGATAAGTTTTTTTTTTTTTGGCATACGACGTAACGAAGTTTACTATAATCAACTATGAACAAACAGGAAATTTAATTCATTTTCACTAAATGCATATAGACAACTTTTACAAACATCAAACTTAGACGATCTGTCGTGGCACTTATCCAATAACCACAAATGGTTTTAATCACTATATATATATATATATATATATATGTGTGTGTGTTTGTGTTACCTACTTAATGAATTGAATTTGCTTTATATCTTTGTCTTTGGTAGAGCATAGTTTTTCAAAGATCACGATGTTTACTATAAAGAAAATAATAACAATCGAGTGTCTGTGTCACATTTTATACGAGCATTATTCTCCACATAACTCTGCATTAAATCAAGAAAATAATTTATTTTGAATTATAAAATAACCTGTTTTACCTGCATGTGATTTTCAAGAACACTTTTTAAATATTTACATCATATATTATTAAACGTTTAATATTATTTAAACATCACATACATTTTTGACACTTTAATCGTTTACTCGTACCAATATCAAAAAAAAAAAATAGATACATTTAAGAACTTAAATTTTATATTTTTACAAAATTTCAAAAAATTTATTATCATTAAGTAGATAAATTTAAAGTTATTTAATGATAAAAAGAAGCAAAATGTACAATGCTGTTAAATTTTTTAGTACTTTTGACATATTTATACATATATTTTTATTTTAATAATATATTATAAGTATTGGTCACATAATAATATTCAATGCGTTTATTATTTTATATTTTATTATGTAAACATATAATTTTATTTTTATCTGATTTGACTGATTGTTAATCAAGTCAATCGTGTCATTTTTTAATGGTTTTTAAATAAATCCCATATCGTATTTTATAATCAACTGTTTTTATTTTAATCAATCACTTAATAATTCTATATTTTATTAATTAAACCTACTAATTTAATTAGGTGCTTTTTAAGATTATTATTTTTAACTTTTCAGTATTTTTGTTAACTTACAAGTAATACTTTTAACTTTTGCAGCTATTCACTCATTTCTCAATGAATATAATGTTCATGTATATATTTTATATAGAGGCGTTTTAGTATATTACTAAAAAAAGTTGAATAATTTCATTGTACATATTGCAAGACATTATAATATTGAATATACATTAATTTACACGAGCATATGGCTTTGATCACCCCTATTTACTATTCAAGAATCAAAACACATTTATTTGAATACCTCTTCGAGATTTGAATAATATTTATGGATATAGGTGCCATCATATTATTGTTTTAAAACAATAAAATAACGAGTGACATATACTATCACGAACAGGATGCTAATACAGTATAATAATATAAATATTCGCTTGGAAAAACAATTGCTCACCAAGGCATATTATAAGTACTATAACGTCGCTTAATAGAAATGTCTAATCGATAATGCAAATTTATTTATTGGAACGTTTATTTCTAAATTTTACTTTAACCATTATACATCTTATAAAATATTTTAAGTCTTCATCAGAAATTTATTGAACCGACGTGAAAATTAATTTAAAAAATAATTCAATAGAATATTCATTTGAATTTTTCATAATTTATAATATAACATTTAAATATCCCAATTTCCTTCTAATATGGGTATTCGTTTAGATTTCGTACAAGCAAATTTAAACGACAATTTATTCAAATTTGATTATTTTGTTTATAAATGCAAATAATTATAATATATTATGTGTACATGATTATTTTTAAAATCATTTTTCACATAAAAAATAAGTATTTAAATCAGATATTGGAATAACATGGGTTTCTGGTATCAAAGGAAGAACTACCATATGGAGAAATGTTTGTAATTCCGATATGTAGATGATACCGCAATAGCCGCATTAAAACGTATACTTATTCTATTTATTATTAGTTATTCGTATTCAGTTGGCGTGAGAATTATAACCGTAACGTAATTGCAAGCGAACCACGCACATCCGTGTTGCCATTAAATTATGCCAGCTGTAATTTAACGGTGTCCGGGTAGTGTGAGCTTAACCAAATTTTACAAATGGAATATAATTTGATAACGGCGTAATATATACGCACCCGTACGTACAAGCACATATTTAAAAGGGTTTACTGGTGTAGATATATAATATATTGTGTCAGTTGCTTATGATAACGATTTGAATTGAACGTAAACGCGGTTTATACTTTGTACACTATTGCTGGGGTTATGTTTTAGGGTCACTGAAATCGTTTGTCATATAATATTTTGTATTATTAAGCACATAATCAGTGACAGTGACCTATCTAGTGACTACATAGGTGTACATTTAGTAACTAGTCTTACAAAATCAAGTTACGTTACGACCAGAAGATAATCTGAGATTTTCGTTTATTAGGAGCTTTTTTTCTTTTTTCTTTTTTTACCTCATTATATCTTATTTGCCTTTTTATAAATCCCTATGCATTTTTTAAATTAGCAGCTAAGATATAAATTTATAAACGTAATAAAATAATTGAAAAATCAATATTATATATTTTTATATAATTTAAAAAGACTTATAAAAATAATTAAATAATATAAACTAATGAATTTTTAACGTAATTTAAAATAATTGAAAATTAACTCAGATAATAATGAAAGTTTCAACATTTTTCCATCACCTAAATATGTTTCTGATTATGAACAATAAAACTTATTTTTATGTTAGAATAACCATGTATAAATATTTGATGATTCATTTACTTTAGAAAACTCATTATATTGAAATGTATTAACTTTTTTGAAAATATTATAGTTTTGAATATTATTATTTTTATAGTTTTTTAAGTTTTTAGTTTAAAAAAAACTAACTAACTAACTTTTTTTTTTTATATATATTTTAACAAATAATTGAAAATATCTTTTTTATAATTCTAATCAAAAAATGAATGAAAAAATTGAAAATGTTTTGATGATTTCTCTTTTGCTATAAACAACTAAACATTTACATTTTGTCTAGTCAAGATAAAGACAAAATCATTTCTTCAACCTACCTTTATAATATTATTAATTTATTAGTAATTATTATAATATATTATTATACATACGGGTAGGGTTGTCGATGAACGATACGTAAAAGCTAAATCCATTTCCTCTACGTGGAACTCTGTATTGTATCAAAGCAGCATTCTGCGACGATTTCAATATTTGTTTGTGTTTTTTTGTACCACACATCTCGAAGAAACGGTCATTTATCGATTTTGGATGGTCTTCTTCATTGGGAAATAACTGTCCGTTGAGTTCCCATCCATCTACAAACTATACACAAGTAGGAAAATATAATTTATCACATATATATACCTTTGTAACATATACGACTTTGGGTACCCGTATAATATTTAAATGGTAGATTACGTATGTATAGTATAAACATTGAATATTATAATAAAATCATATAAATATTTACTGAATTTAAAATAGCTAATAGTATTTACAATAAATAAAACAAAAAATACGACCATTTATTCGTGATCACATGGTCTATGTTGTAGATTATAGATATGGCTATTCAAATTTAATTTCAGCGTGTGATTGAAAAATCTTCTAGTTATATATACACTATATTATACATATTTATGTATTATAAAATGACTGCAAATTATCATAATTCATAAGTCATAATATTATGACTTACTATTAATTATTAAGTAACACCATAAGTCAAACCAGCATACATCAAACCAAAACATTGAAAGACTTTTTAACAGACTTATTGTTTTAGAACATCATTATCATCAATACTATTTACTACTGAACAATTTGGACATTGTTATTAAGCTATATGTAAATCGAATTAGTAAAATATACTAAATAGTAATCATACTAATTTAATGATGGCATTATGTATACATTTACAATAAATATACCGATGTGATATAATTACAAATGAATTGCCCATTTGATGTAGGTACAAAATTACTATTGCAGACGCGTGAACATAAGACATGTTGAATTTATTTATAATTAAACAACATTTAATGTTTAAATTTTATTATATAATATTATTAAAATAACGTTCTAGCTTAAATTAATAAAAATGATTATCACATTTTATTATATGAATACTGAATAGTACTGTATTATATGAATTTTCTAAAATAAGTTTTCGATTTTCACTGTTTCATTATTTTATTACTAATCACATTATGTTTAATGTAAATTTTATTTATATGTGATAATATAATTAAAGAATCAGATCAATGATTCAATAAAATTGCACGAAAAAAATAAAAATAACTTTTGAAAAATAAAGCATTATCTAAAAAACTTAATGCATTACAATCGGATGATCTTATTTTAAGGTATAGGTACACATGATTATATTATGTGTTCAGGGAAGAGTGTATTATCACTTTGGTACATCATAAATTACTACAATACTTATATCTTTCAACAAAGAATTTGAGCTCAGTTGTTTTAATAGTTTATACATTTTATGTATAAAAAAAAATGAAAATGTACGTTATTAAAAATTTTACCCGCATATATATATATATATATATATATAAATATACGTTTTCAAGTCTAATTGAAAGTATAAAAATGTAATAACTACAAACATGAAATGTTTATATAACATTTAAATATTAAATGATCAAAAAGGTTTTCAAATAAAATAAACCAATTATATTATTCTAATAGCTTCTCGTTCCCGTTAAAAATCAAAATATTAATAATTAATAAATATGCCTCCTAGTAAACTATTTTATACAACAATGATTAAAATATAAATTATTAGTATGATGTGTATATAGTAGTATTCTGGTTTTGACATTTCGATAAAAATAAATAAATAATTTCTATAAAATCAAAAAGCTGGTTGTCATTAAAGCTTAGTAATAACCGTGTCAGTAACATTTTTCCGTCAATACAGTGTATTTATATATTTTTAATATAATATGAATAATTAAAATGTGTCTAAAATTAATACAAAATGTATTGCAAAAAAAAAAAAAGATAAAAAAAACTATAGCACGGCTTGAGTAAAGGGAATTTTTACTGTTCATTAATGATATCATCAATTTATGTATTTGTATAAGAATTGGATACATTAATTAAAACAATCTTTATGTCATTTACGCTAAAACCGACGAGATGAGCTATCTATGAGAGTGTTGCAAGTTTACATTCATTATATTTCATTACATTCATAGTTTTTATTTTGAGCTGAGAAATGCACGAAATGATTTAATGTTGTGTCATTTACTGCTTCAAACTTCAATCTTGATATGTTTTTTGGTATGAAAATGTATCTATTTCTTATTTTAGGGGTCAAAAGTAAAAAATTCCCAATACTTTTCATAATAATTTAGAAAATAAAAAGTAGAGAAAATGGTCATTTTTACACAAAACAATTTTTGAAAAAATCGGTTTTATTTAATTTTGTTGTATTATTTGTGGGGGGCTTGTAACTTTTACGCAGATATCTACTTGTATTATTATATTTTACTGTACTTTTAAAATATTTAAAATGTCTATTTATACTAAGAACTAATTACCTACTCAAACCGTTTTATGCAGTGGCGCTGAACTTCTAAAAATGTTCTCAGGCCAAATGAAAATACAACGGCCCCAAGCCACCCCAGCGGCCACAAACCTACTCTTACGTACCTAATGGCTAATTTGATTTATTATTTTTATATTTTGTTTCTGTAGCTATAAGAATTCAACTGAGACAGAGAAGTCTTTAAACTACAAACTAGATACCTAAATAAGTAAGTATTAATATACATTTTTTATTTTCATCAAATAACCAAGTACATTATGTTAATTAAAATATTGCAAAAACGTCCAACCCCCCTCTGATCGCCGACCCCTTTTAAAAATTTTGTCAGGCTGTGGCCTGACCTAAACACAGGACTTGGCGCCACTGGTTTTATGATAAGACAGAATTGACTTAAAAGTTATATATTATGTAAGCATACTATTATAATAGTACCTATTATTATAATAATAGTTTCTCGCTTTTTACTTATATCATACAATTATTCAAAATCTGATTTTAAGTATACTTGCAAAACATATTTTTTAATTTATAAATTTTTATACCATTCAAAAAACATACTGTGATCAAATTTATATTTTTAAATAAGAACAATACTTTTATGTTTTTACGGTAAATTTTAAACCTTTTATAAAAATGTTTATAAATATTAATCATGATTTGATTAAATCTGTTTTGAGTTATTAAATTTTAAGAGGATATCTATTATGAATAATAATCTATGAAAATGGACATAAAATATATATGGGCTATGATGATTATAATATTATAATAAACATTTTATAATTTGTAAAAATTATCCGAGCATTATGAATATGTCTTAATTAACTAAATTATTTATTATAACTCATGTCCATCCAAAAACGGTGTATATGTATTACACGTGACTGGTATAGAATTGGTTCCCGTATAAAAAAAGTATTTTATTAATATGAGCTAAATTGGTTCCCGTTTATATTTAAGCCAGATAGTTTAAATTTTTATTTTTAAACAATAAAAATTATTATTATTAGAACTACAAATGTTAGCGAATCGTTCCATTTAAAACTAAATAATGAGTTTACTAGCGCTCGTCTCAGTATAATTTATTTTTTGGAAACTTTGAATGAACAATACTTAAACATTAAATTATATTAAATTTCTCATTAGTATTACAATTTACATAAAAACTTACCAACAAACAAGAAAAAACAATCAACATTGGAAAACTGTATGACTGACTACATTAATGGGAAATATAAACGATTTAATTATTTGAAGAAAATCTGGTTCAAATTTTCAAGGTTAGTTTAACTTGAACCATCAGCTCAACAGTTTTAAATTTTAAATTTTAAATCATTATTTTTTATTATTTTTATTTTATACATCTAAGTAATAACTACTTTAACGATCGCTTATACACATTCATTTTTATCTACGTCTCCTAAGTCGGTAGACTTAAATCTATAAAATTGGGGAAAGAAATGTTAAAAAATGAGAAGCAACTCGACCAGTAGTGGGATTATTATAAATTTAAACTATTATAAAATAATAACTAATCATATGAGTGTCACCAATGTCAAAGTCATAATTTATTACTCTAATCTTAAATTTTACATTTTATTAAATATTTTATTGATACATTAATATAATGATTAGGTATGATGAAACGTTTTCGAAGATTTTCATCGTGGTTTTTAGATGTAAGAAATTTCTCTGCGAAGCTAAGATTTTTAACATTTCATAAAATATCATTTATTAAATTATAAAAGGCACCTATATTTATATTTTGTATATTACTATAGTTTAATTTTGTTTGTAATTACACTGAATAAATTGAATACCCTGAACTTGATTGTTAACTTGATTTAACTTTTAAAACTCAGCTTCAAAGGAAATGTAGGTTTTTTAGTAACAAAATTATTATGAACATTCAATTAAACATAACTTCACAAAGTATTGGTATTAATTATGTAATGTCTTAATTTGTATGGATATTTTATTATTAATATAATAAAATATATATTAATATAGATATTAATAATTTTATTATTAATATAGATATTTTATTTAAATTACTCGAATTATGTAAATATATTTTTATCAAGAGATTATTTATACTCTACGATTATACATATGACTATTATGATATTACACTGAATTATTATAGGAAAAAAATGTCTATAAAATAAATAAAAATGTAAATTCAATTATTATTGTAATTTATATTGGATATTTGAACACGCATGCATACTGTTTAAAACACAGAATACGCCACTGATGTATTTGAATTATTCTACAGTAAATATTTTTAAATATAAAATAATTTATAACTAGTTAATAGAGATTGACTGTGTCGAGAAACTACATATTATAGGTACGCATGTTTGCCTACATCATTATTAATGCATTCGCGTAATCTTACTTAATATGCACTTAAACACAGACACTTACCGCTATTAAACCACCGGTATTGCAGGGTACGTCTACGTAATCAAAGTAAACGTGAACCGTCTGCTCGGGTTTTGCTATTATGTAAATGCCACACACGGTCGGATCGTTGGTTAGCGATTTGTAGTATAGGTGGCCTTCTTCGGACCACACGGTCATACAGTCTATAAAAAAATACAAACACGTTATCAACTCTCGACGTGACTATCGTGAACATACAATCATAAAGTGATGATCATCGCATCATCTTTAACTAAATATTAAAATTATCTCCTTCGCGATTTCTCGCGAATACACAAGATCTACTGTCATTGTAATATTATGTAAATAATATAATATAGTATGTACATATTATAATATAGTTTACCTGTAATGATTTTCTCTTGTGTTCGGATCCGTTTGCTCTGTACTGGGTACAATAATGATGATGTCTGTCGGGGATACGAAAAGCGAAATAATAAACAAATATATATTAATGTTATCATGAACTTCAATTATTGTTATAACTATACCTAATTAAATCGTCTCCTTTTCCACCACCTATCTTATACGGGTTTTCTAACTACGTCATCTTAATTAAAACAACAATATATTATGAACTAAATAACTACAACGCCGTTTAAATAGTGAACGTTTATAGTCTATTTACGGGTATTGAGAAAATATGGTCATAAAAATACAATAAAAGTGAAATTAAGTTATAAATCTCGCGTTATATTCCTGTAATTTAAATGAATGTTTTTAATATTTTATTTTATTTATATTTTTTGTAAATGGGCAGTTTTATTTTAAATATCTAGTATGTAATTATAATAGCATTAATTATATAGATTATCTATTTCATATTTAATAATAAGTACTAATAGTTTTGGTACTTCTAATTGCATCGTCTAATATAATTAAACATTATAAAGTCATATCATAAATTATCATAATAAGCTTGTGTACATTATGATATGAAGAGGTGTGTCTGCAGGTTAGGTTAATGAAAAAACACTCATATTTCAAATTATGCGACCCTATCTAGTATCTTAATCATTCAAGGATTATCCCAAAATGGAATAGCGCTGATTATCTGTGCACAATTATTAAATTATTTATAAGGAATACATGTACTCGTATAATATTATGTTAACATTACAGATTTATGACACACCATTGTAAAAAAAAAAAAAAAAATTATGCGATAGTACAATTTCAATTTTTTTTTTCACATATTTATTTTTATTTAAACAATCTGTTTAAAGTATTTACAATAAGCACAATAGATGGATGATATTATAATTGGCCATAGTTGGCTTGGGTGAAAAAGCTATTCAGTAATAGCACTTCATGGCGTGGGTGGTGACGATTTCAATTAAAATTAAAAATATATATTTTTTACCAATGAAATTCGATTTAATAATAATAATAATTTATTAATTCTCCAACAAATAATATTTACAAGGTGAATTACAATTAAAAAATTTTTGTGAATCACCTTCAAAGTCAAAGGTAGTGTTGAAGGTGAAAGCTCATGTAAGTAGAATATTAAATAAACATTAATAGTAGATAATAAATGCTATTATTAAAATAAATTATTACAAATACATGATAAATATATTCAAATATTATTTAAATCCAAAAACATAAGATTTATTTTTAATTGTTTAAAATTAATAAAATTATGAATAGATACAAATTGTATGTTAAGTACAAAAATGATTGAATAAAAAATATGATCTGGATTGAAAAAGTCAGTTCTCGATTTAGGTAATGTAATATTAATATCTTTAACAAATAGTCTGTTATAACTATGAATTTTAAAAGTTATTGTATTATTGTATTTAAAATATAAAACATCAAAAATATGCATTATATTAAGAGACTTCATGTTTAAAATGTTACATTAGTTTTATAAAAAGTCGTTGAGAAGAGACAAGGATTATTTAATATATACTTTACAAGAGAATTTAATGTTATATGTAATATTTTATTATGAGTATCAAAAACGTTATTACAAAATCTTATATCATAAGACACTTATGATTACATTAGAAATGTATATACTATTGTTTTAACATTAACAGTTTAGATATTTTCAAACATTCAAAAACAAAAAAAAATTGGACTGAAATTATTACTTTATTTATGCAGACATTCTTGACTTAAGTATTTTACTAAGCTAAAAAAATAAATAAATAAATAAAATGCTATTTTTTATATAAGTAACCATTTAAATCTTAAGTTTATATCACATTACACATTTTTAAGTAGTTTTATTTTAATTTTTTTTTTTTTTTTTGAGGAGAGCAAATAAACAATTTTAATATATTAGGTTTCTAGCGTTTCAACAAACATTACACAACAAACCTGGAATTATAATTTATATTAGCATTTAAAAACCATGTGCAATATTTATTTCATATTATTTGTATAACTGTATGCGTAAAATTGTAATAAATAGCTTATAATATGTATATTTTATTTAGCTGTATAGCTATCACCATTTTTGTCACTTAATGATAATAAAGATAAAATTTGTCACGTGTACAATTCGACGTTACCTATGGTTGTTATTATTTTTATTTCAACCTATATTTTCATACTTAAATTGAATAACCAATAGAATGGATGGGTTATGGATGTGAACGATAAATATAATTATATGCCCACTTGTATAAATTAAGAAATGAACATTTTACAAACATGTGTCAATTTTACCTAATACCTACATAAAAGTCATATTTACGTTTTATTGTTAACACTTTAAAAATAAAGAATATTGATAGAAAAGAATAAATAAAAACTACATAGTTATCTATATTATTATATTGTTCTTAGTTTTAATTAAATTAATAATAATTATGTTTTAAAATGGATGAAGTGTAATATAAACTGTTTTTAATTATCTCAAAAATATAGAGTATTATAAACAATAATTTAATGATTTATGATAATGAATTATATTTTTATATAGATTTTGTACTATGTTCCGAGATTTACTTAGTATAAAAAAACTGTCTTTGGTACCTACGAGTTATTCACTGGTGCTTGTCAGACAAAATTTAATATCCATTGAGCTTATTATGCATAACTTGGTATAGTTCTCATATTAAATATTAAGTAGAATATACATTTATGTATGATCGTGTCCCACTGCTGTTTTGTCCCTATCGATAACATTTATTACTTCATTTAGTTTTTTTTTAAATCTTTTATTAATCTTTGTTTTTTATATTAACTATAAGGAATTTTCTTATTCATTAGCTGTATATTCATGCTGTAAATAAACTTAGTCACAGTTATCAAGGAAATAAATATTATTCCTTTTTTTTTTTTTTTTTTGAAAAATTCGAATGCTTTATACAGTTTTACATTTTAAATTGAATTTAGGAAAATCGAGGTTATTGTATACAATGAAAATACGCCTAAGTCGTGTTTCGAAAAAAAGTGAATAGTAAAATAGTCGGTGAAAAATTTACAGTGTGCTACGCTCTATACCATATAATTTATGTGTTGGTATATCACGTAAATATTCAATAGAATAAAATATAATAGCATAGTTTGAGACAAAAAATGAGTCAATACCATAAAGACAGACAAATTATTATTACGAGTGTATGAGTAATAAAATATAATATTAAGTACGTTTAAATTAAATTTAAATATTTGTGATGTATCCATTATTTAATTATACTCAAAACGCATTTATCGATGTTAATGAGTAATATTTTATATTATAGGCTTCACGATGTGTTTTGTTTGTACCTTAATATAATATACAATAATACACATGTATGCTGAATATCGAAAAGTTATGTTAGCATATCATGTACATATTATGTTATAGCATAAAGTAAAGGAATAAAATAATAATAGTGTCAGTTTAATAATATATATGTGCATACACAGGGACTTTTCAAATCAATATTATATGTACCAAAATAGCTCGCACAAGATATTTGACAAGTGTTGAGTAGGTGATGGCATTATTGTGTTAGCAATATCATCACTCCTTAACGCAGAGATAATCAACATAATATAGTATTAACATTTACACATACGGTTTCAGTATAAATTGAATGGAAATTGTCGGTAGTCTTATTCACTCAATATTTTCCCGCATGGTTTGAGTGAAGTTTCGAAGACATTGTTCAATGGTCTTGGCAAATAAATGTTATTATTTATTTACTTATCTCGAATTCTCTAGTGTCTAAATTCCATAATATCTAATACTAATAAAAATATCATTGGAACAGTAAATAAAAACTTTGAAGCTTCATAATCATTCAATAGACATAAATTATTGCACATAAACAAATAGTTAATTTAACAAGTTATTTTATGAATAGGTATAATCTTTTTTTTGAGTACGAAAATGTTAATTAATTTTTTTAATTTTTTCCAAAAAGTTTTCTTAACTTAACGATATAAAATAAAAGGATGAATGATGGTCAAATATTATCCTAGTCTATCAAGTTTTATTTATTTTTGTTAGTCACAGATCACAGTTTAGTTTTCATCTTAACTTAAAAAATCATAAACATAATTAGATAATACAATAAAATGTACTTCATGATTTTAATTATAACTTAGTACACAAGCAAAATTATATAATTTAAGAATTAAAATGGGAGGTATTTTTGAATAATTGTTTAAACATTAATCGTGAAATAATTACTCCAAATAAATAAATTATTACTATTCAAGTTATTCTCTTCTCTTGATAAATTATTTAAATAATTATTAGAAAATATTACTACTATAAATAAACCCAGATATTTAGTTCTTGGTATTCATTTATTTTAAGCTATCTTTAAAACGATCTAGGAATTGTACACTGGTCTGTTTTTCATATACATAATGTCATATTATATCTCACGTGAGATGTTGGTACTCTAAGTTTTGTATAATTTTCCGAATTTTAATATCGCACTAAATGTTTTATCTAATTGGCGAAAAATATTAATGTGGAGTATAATATTTCCTCGAGTTCCACCTAGTATGGGACAGTTTTTGACACGGTTTTATATTTTATTTTACTTACAAAATCATATAATACATTATATTAAGTAAATACTAATGAAACTGTACAATGCTTGCACAGTTTAACAAGCTCCTTGAAACTAAATAACTCATGGGTAGAAAAAACAATATAAATACATATGAGTATACTTAACTCTTGAAAGTGTTCAATTGAACTTAGGACGAATCTAATACCGATATACGCATGCACGAAACGAATGGAAATTGTTATTGATGGTTTTGAGAGTATTCTATTAGTATATATTGATTAATCAAGACGCAATCAACAAAACAATACTCTGCAACAGGGTTAATCGAAATGTGTTCCTTACACACTATATTGTATAAATTAATTGTCTTCCATTTTAATGTTGTTGAAATTGCGTAGGGTGTATTTACATTTACTTAGAATTTAGAAAATATA